CAACCATCCATCCTTTTATCCATTCATTATTCCATCCATCCAGTTATCCATCAAACCAACCATTCATTTTTCCTTCCTTCCACCCATTCATTAATTCATTCATCCATTCATCCATCCACCCATACATTATTCCATACATTCAGTCATCCATTCATCCTTCCATTCATTATTCCATAAATACATTCATCCATTCTGTTCATTTCCATATAATTCCTTATGTAAATAATAAAATATTTTAAAGACTGAAATAGTTAATGGGAATGGGTTAATAAAATATAAATAATGTATTTGTTATTCAGTGGAACAGGTGGTTTGTTGTCACATGACCCCACTTCAGACCCAGCTTTACAAACATTTAGTCCAGTCAAACGTAGCACAGCGACTACAGAAACTAGATTCAAAGACCGGTGGTATGTCTGCATCTTCACTGGGTTTTATCACTAACCTCAAGAAACTGTGCAACCGTAAGTAAAAATAAATAAAAATAACTCTTCTTACTACTGTTTTCATTGCTACGAGCAATTTTACAGGTAGTCTACTGTCAATCAAATAAATTGTTCGGTACCTTTACACCTGTACATACTCTGATTGACAGCAGTATTGGCCAATTTCCATGTGCCGAATGTTGACTTGATAAATGAAAACGTGATCATAAATACAAACTGAACGAGCTTGGTTTATCAGTATATTCAAGATTTCTTTTCATATTTCTTAATTTCAGACCCCGAACTTATTTTTGAGAAGGCAAAGATGCAGGAAGAGGGCTTTAGAGGTGCTTTAGAAATATTTCCTAAAGGATTTTCTGAGAAGGGTAATTTACTTCCTGATTTATCAGGTAAAAATAAAAATAAAAATATTTTTTTCTTAATAAAGCAGCACACAGCACAGGTGTGCATATATATTACAGTAATGGGCTTTTCCACATACTTGTACTAGGTAAAATGCAAGTACTTGACCTCATTCTGGCCATGACTAAATCAACTACAGATGACAAAGTAGTGTTGGTATCAAACTACACTCAGACGCTGGACATCTTTGAAAAGCTCTGTAGACAAAGAAAGTAAGGCTAGTTAAAAAGAATTACATTTTATTGAATTTATAAACTGTCATTTTGTCATTAATCTAAACTTTTATACGTTATACATGTGATACTAATCATGATTATTTTTCAAAGCTATCAGTATGTTCGTCTTGATGGTAGTATGTCAATCAAGAAAAGGCAGAAGATAGTGGATAAGTTCAATGACCCAAAGGTATAAGATAAAGTACAGTTGGATGAAAAACAGATTATTTAGTAAAATAGGGAATTCCCTATTGTTCTAAATAAATAATCTTTTTTCGTTTCTTTTCATGCACTCATTGATGTTTTCTCAGGTTGATTTCTTTTTCATGTTGAAAAATAAAATTGTTCATCCATTTAGTTATCCATCCATCCATTGTTTCATTCATTATTCCACTTTTTCATGTTGAATAATATAGTTGTTTACTCAATCATTCATTATTTTATCCATTTATCCATCCACCCACCCATCCATCCATCCATCCA